CCAGCTTGTTTCAACAAGATTTAGAAAATGTAATAATAGGTAATATTTACATCTGTCGGTAGAGTTGACAACGTACACAGCCGGGTTCATATTTCCAATTGAACAGGCAGCATGCTTCTTCGTTTTACTCCAACATAATCTTAAGTTCAAAGATAGCAATTTAAACTACATCTGTAACTTACAAATGAGATAGATCTTGACTCCAAAAACATCTGTACATTGATCGCTAGAGCCGCACAGGGTCACATTAGCATAGGATCTTTCAGTTGCTTCTACAGACCAAAAGTCTGGGCAAGGGTGAGAGGCTGGCTGGTGAAATTCTATATAAGAACCCTTGTATCCTAATCTCTACCTGCTGACTTCTTTAAAATGCCCGGTTTCTTTCCATGCACTTTATCTGGGAACTAGGCCAGGCTCAGCCAGAACAATACCATTTTACGAACAAGGAAAACAAAGCGCAGAGAAATTGACTTGCCCAAGTCACTGAGCAAGGACATTGCAAAGGCGGAACTTGAACCTGGACCCCCTTGCCCCAAGTCCTTTGCCCTCCGTAGGGCCAGGGGTGGGCCTCCTGGTGTTAGCTGGTTGTCAAGGTCAAAAATAGACGAGGGACCTGGATGGCTGCAAGCTGTGGTAACTTAGCCAGCAAAGCGGTTATCTTTGATTGCTTTGTTCATTTGGATTTTCCCTAAAGGGTTTTGATGAGCTTTATAGCAACGTGGCCAGTGGCTCCTGAGCTCTCAGGGTGATGTGCAGTTACACACTGTATTTCCAGAGTCCCCAGACGTTTTCTTCTGAGTGCCTTGGAGGGTTTTGAATGCCTCTGAGAGCAGCTAACGAGCATCTTCAGAAAGCACATCTGAAAGAATCTTTGCCAGAAACGGTTACAAGGATCTTCCCAGGCCTCATTTCTCTCCTCTTTGCTCCTGCCTCTTGCTGCCGTCACTCACATGGCGGCCGTGGCTGGGCTCCATGTCCACCTGTACTGTGGCCAGTGCTATGCTAGACACGGGGGCAAAAAAGCAAACAAAATCGACAGCCCCAGCCCGCATGGGGCTGCTGTTCCAGGAAGGGGGGACAGGTCAATGACCAGGTGGAGAGGTAACTCAACAAGAGAAGGCTGCATCGCATGAAGGGTGTTGGAAAGTGTGCTGAAGGAAGAGTGACCAGGAGAGAAGGCCTATCCCTGGGGAGGTGACATCTGACCTGAGACATAAAGGAGGAAAGGGAACAGTTCGGGTGGAGGATGAGCAATTCCAGAGCCCTAAGAAGAGAATTAATTTGCATGTGTCCAAGGAGTCCTGAAGAGGCCATGTGACTGGAGCACAGTTTCTGAGGGGTGGAGAGGAGGAAGGTGGGGTTGAAAGAGGGGCAGGGCGATTCATGCAAGTTTGCATTTTATTCTAGAATCAGTGGAAAGCCATTGGAGGGTTTTAAGCAAAGAAGTGATATAATTAGATTTATATAGACTTATATTTAACTAGATGGATGGATAGATGAATAGGAAGATAGATATAGATAGATAGATAGATAGATAGATAGATAGATAGATAGATAGATAGATAGATTCATAGATATCAATATAAATGGCTGGTGGTTTGAAGAGGCAGAAGTAAAACCAAAGAAACAAGATTTCAGGCTGTTGTTGATTTGGCTCGGATGACGTACTTGTTGGTTATGTTAGGATGATAATGGTGTGAATGGAGTGAAGGGGACACATGTGAGATATCATCTGTAATTTCTGATGGATGGGATGTGGGGAAACAGAGAGCATCATGACCTGATGGCACTGTTGTCCACTCTGGCCCAGGCTGAGCGGTGTGGAGGGTGACCATATGCACAGATCAGCCACAACATGGCGGTCATAGATTTTCCCTTCACTCCGCTGCGGTCCCTGGGAATTGCCATTCTGCCTTCGGGCTGTGCTTAGCCAGCTCTGAGGACAGGAGCTCACTGACGTGCCTGGCATATCTGCTGCAAGAGTAGAGCTGAAGTCCAAATCTTCCCCAATAACCTTGTGTCTAAATTGTAGTGTCACACAAGGGCGTGTTTAGAAATTAGCATTTGAAAAGGAGCCTCCTTGCTTTCAGTTTGAGCTGACATGGTCCCTTTTCCTCTGTGGAAATGAAATTTATTAATCATAATAAAACCATCGGATTCTGAAGGTAGAGGTCACCCCGAGGAGAAAAGGCGCCTGCTCATTTACGAGGAGCAGTTCAGGGCTGCTGTATTTTTCTTCTGCCTTGGAAAAGAACGCTGCCAAATTGCTACCTTGGGTTTTCCACAAAGGTTGCAGCTCTGCCCCGTGTTAGAGACAAATAAGAATTTACCATTAAAGTATGCAGAAGGAAAAGGTGGGCGCTACATTTTCGTGGAATGCATTCCGACGACCAATATGTTGTCTCCCCCCCAAAAGGAAATTTTTGCTACAGTGAAACCATTCCCCAAATTAAAACAACAACAAAAAAAAGGAATTTTTTTTTTTGCTCTGAATTTGCATCTTCACGCTTGTTTTGAAGGAGCACCATGCTGTGGCAACATTTCCAAGGATTTTCAGTTTGCTTTTGCACTTTATGTCTTGTTCATGCAACCAGCTTTGCCGGGGGAAGATGCATCAAAAATAACCCTATTTACAGGTTTTGGGTTTTTTTCCTAGACTAGTGGCAGACTTTACTTTCTCATGAAATGAAAATCAATGACAAAGTTATAACTTATGCTCAAGTTATAAGACATGTCCAGTGAGAACTTGGTGTAATCATTTATTTTCCATCTGGAGTCTAAGTTAAAGCCTTAGAGTCAGAAGTTCTTTCACTCGGCTTCTTCCCACCTTCTCAGGCTCCAAGGCTTGAGCAGTCATGTCAGACCCATCCAGTACATTCTTATCCACCAACTACGGGAAGGAAGATTGGAAGAAAAATGGAGAAAAGATAGGGAAGGGGAGAAATAAAGTGCATGCAAATTAGATTCCAAGAGATTGGGAGGTGAGCGTAAGGTTCACAGTCCATGCAAAGCATCTCTTCCTGCCTTGTTCCTTCATTCTTTTTTCTTTTTTTAAAAGATTTTTATTGGGGAATTGGGGGGATGGGAACAGCACTGGGGAATTGGGGGAAGGGGAACAGACAAGTTGCTGTCGTTTTGTTCTTCAATCTAGTTGTGGAGGATGTTGCTTCACTGGCCCAAGTTGGCTCCATCATTGCGCTCTTCCCAGGCGAGGCAGATCAGTCGCCGGCTTCTGGACGGCTGCTCACGGCGGCTGCTGGCCGCTCACGCTGGCTGCTGGCTACACACGGTAGCCCATGGCAACCCACTGCCACAGGGGCTGCAGCCTACACCATCCCCAGTGACTCATGGCAGCCCAGCTCCAGGTTGAGCTGTTGTTCAGCATCTTAGCTGTAGAGGGCAGTGTCACTGGCCCGCATATGTGGGATCCGAACCGGGGCCCTCTGGCATCCCAAGCGAGTTCTTAACCATCGCGCCACTCGGCCGGCCCTGTTCCTTCATTCTTTAAAGGAACGTCCAAGCGTCAAAGGCTGTTGACAAGCCACATATATCCTACACCCCGGCTGATGTGAGGGTTGCTTGCTAACGGTACATAACTGCTCCTTTCTTCAGAGAATTACCCTCTGCCAAAGAAGGTCACTGCAACTCATAAGTTATCCTCACCCCTCAGGGAAGCCCCCAGCTAATACTTAACTTACAAAAGCACTAAAAAACCACCTCACTTACCTCTAGGTGGGATAAACTCTGGGGTACAACTCACAGGATCAGGTCAAAGCTAATCTCTAACTCAGACCGTGTCCTTGTTTCTCTTTTCCCCCTTGCTCTTGGCCCACTTCCCTCTCTCTCCTTCACGCACACAAGAGTCACCATTTCAGGCTAGGCTTCCAGGAAACCTAACTTAACTCTGCGTCTCAGTTTTGATCACTAACCAAAAGAGCAGTGTTCAAACCATCTCCAGGAAGATATCTGGCAGGTCATTCAAGTAAGCATAGGTACGTGCCTCCATGGAAAGAGCGTTTGAATGCCCTGAGGAATTCCAAGATCAGCTCTGACTCTGTCTAGCTGTGTGACCTTGAGCAAGCGACTTAACCTCTAGGAACCCTAATTTCTGATTTCTTGCAGTGTTCAGTTCCAGGCATTTAGTCGATACCCAGTGTATCAGGCTTCCATCCTTTCTTCATTTTTATTCTAAAGCCTGTACTGGAAGTCATGGCCATGGAGGGACGAGGCGGGGAAAGAGAGAAAGAGAGAGAGAGAGAGAGAGAGAGAGAGAGAGAGAGAGAGAGAGAGACTCAAAGATGAGGAAATGCCATCAGGAAACATTGTTAGAAATGTGTCCCTTCCCAGCACCTGGCCATAGATGGATGAGATAGATGTTCTGGAGTGATAAGATCAAAATCAAATAGCTCTAATTCTTGAATTGGGGTAGGGGGTTCCCACAAACCCTTCAAGGATGCTTCTATTTGAACGCATTTGTTCTTCCCCATTTTGAGGCGTTGGACCCTAGCTGCACAGACCCGGCCACTTCACCCCTTTTCATCCACCCTGTCTTGCTTGGTTGACAACAGCTAAGTTAGGAGAAAGTGACAATCTCTCTTGAGTATTCACATGTCCTCTGGGCAATCCTGGGCTTCTTAAAACCACTCTTCCAAGTTGCTTCTTCTGCTGACCTGTTTCTGAGGTAGCTGCATGAGCAGTGTAGAAACAGTCCTGTGAGAGGAGGGAAAAAAACAAAACAAAAAAATACACACACACACACACACACTTTTACATATACGTATATGTATGTGTATGTATATGGCCAGCCATGTGAAATGGACAAGACATGTATTATGTACAGATGGACTTTTCTCATGTTATGCGAAAGATTGGAATGTTGCTCATTTCTGAAGCGGAACAGGGCCCCTCCACAGTGTCTTGGTATTTTGTATTGTGTGGTTGTTATCATTCTTTGGTAATTGCAGGTGATGGGTTAATCTTCCCCTCTGCTTTCCTTTCAGTTACGGACGAGTTTATGCTGCCGACCCCTACCACCACACACTTGCTCCAGCCCCCACCTACGGCGTTGGTGCCATGGTGAGTGCCAGTTCCTCCTCTTCCTCACGTCTTCCTGCGTCCCTTCCCTTCCCCCAGCTGGGACCTTCATATGGGTTGACGGTTGACGTCCTCTCACTGGCCCTTAATTGAATTTGTCTCTTGTGCTAACAGCAGCTAAAATGCCACATTAATCCTCCCAGTAAACTTGATAAATGTCTTAATTTCTTGGCAATGTAGTGCATGTAAGTTATTATATTTCTAATTTTGCAAGTCTCACCTAGCAGAGCACTTACCTTAATGGAATAATTAGTCATTTTGATAATTAAATCCATCACTAACAGAATGCAGTGTCAATGCAGAACTTTTTTTTTTCTTTTTTTTTCCCTCCCTTGCTGCTCGCTCATTCACATAGCCCCAAGGCTCCAGCCCCAGCACAGACTTCAGAGGAGCTAAGCTGCACACTTCCAGGCCTCTGCTGTCAGGCAGCTGAGAATCTGACTGCCTCTCCTCCCCTATTACAATTCATGTTTAAAGTTATAGTCGCCCAGGAAAGAAAATAGAGAGGGGCGCACTTTGTGTGTGTGCCTAGTACCTAAGGAATTAGAAGGAATCAGCTGGGTTTGGGGGTTGTCTTTTGTTTTTTGGGGGGCTTTGGGTTTTTGTTTGGGGAGGGGCGGGGGGAGGGCAAACATGGGGGGTGAGGGTGGGGTGAATTTGCCTGTACTTGTTCAAACTTCTATGCACTAAAACTCTTGAGTACAGTAAGACGTGCCCATCACGTGAGAGCGTATGCAATCATTACAAAGCTTTCGGCATGCAGCTTTCTGCTTGGGATCAAGAAAATCAGCCCTTATCCTAAAACTCAATCCCCAATAGGCATTCTATTCGTTTGAATCGCCAATTCTTTGAGCAAAAAGGACATAGTTAAGTGCCACCTCACAGCCGTCTAAAGCCATGGCCAGCCAATTGGCTGGAGCGTGGTCATAGACATTCAGCCACAATTTGAGAAACATCCTCTTTTGCACAAGCTCAGTTACATCAAGCAGTTCATCTGTCCAACTTCCCTCTTAAGAGCAAATCCCATACAGCTTGTTAAGCCAAATCAAGCACGAGGTCGATTTAAATTTTCGTCCTGATTTTGCGTTTATCGACTCTGCTTCCACACCCAGTCCCCTTGAGAAACACATTGGGCGGAGAGTTGAACGACCACATTCAATCAGTTGTCTGCATTCAACCTCTCGAGTGTAGCTTGAGCTCTTCCGGATGGAGCGTAGTGTTAATGAGTCAAACAAGCAAACAAAATGAGACGGTGCAAATCCTTCGGTTGTCCAGTTTGCGTCAGAGGCCTTTGAGCTCCCTGGAGTGGCCGACAGAATTTGGTTTTATGGGGAGTTTCTTCATGAGGAGCGATTGGGGGCGGTCAGGATTGGCCCTATCTGTAGTTCTCCAAGAATGACCTGGGATGGGTAGGGGTGCCTCCATTTTGGTTGATTTTGAGTGTCTATCTTTCACAGTAGTCTTTTTTGATGATCCACGTGTTGCAAAAGGAAAATGTAAAAAACACACCCCTCAAATTGCTTTGTTTCAGAATGCTTTTGCACCCTTGACTGATGCCAAGACTAGGAGCCATGCTGATGATGTGGGTCTCGTTCTTTCTTCATTGCAGGCTAGTATATACCGAGGGGGATACAACCGTTTTGCTCCATACTAACTGACAAAACCATAAAAACCTTCCAATGTGGGGAGAAAGGAAGCTTTCCGAGGCCTGGGTATTGCAATACATGCAGTAGCGCATCATTTTAGCAACTCTAAAAACTAAAAAAGAGGAAAAAAAAATTTACATTTTTTATCTTATACCTCAGATATTTTGTTCTGTGTATTTTAATATTGTGGGTCTTTCATTTCTGAAGGTTCCGTAATTTGGTTGCTGGCTGTAGGCGTTTTTTTGTGATCTAGAGAGATGCTAGCTATGAATACAAACTGGTTTAGGGCCATATCCAGAGTGCTTTATCATGTAAATGAATTCTATATGCTGAATATTAAGCTACTGGGGTTATCAGCTATTCTGGAAGAGTGTCAGTGACTACAGTAGTCATTCTTTTTTTCTGCATCTGCATTGTTTTATTTTATGAACGGGGATGGGTGGGAGGGACATAGGGGATTGGGAGTGGGGTTTGGCTGAAAGAGAAAAACAAATAGTAACTAATGAATCTAAACGACCCACTGCACCAACAATCATCTATCAACGGTTCTGAGTTACTCATTGTCAGTTCAAGCCAAAGGTTATGTTAAGGGGGTGCTTGTAGTAGCACGTGTGCATCCAAGTTGAATTAAGCTGTGCAAACCCACCCTTTAAACCATTCCACCTGGCAGTACTCAGCTTCTTAACCAGCCGCTAGTTATTTAGGCAAAAAAACTGCTAGTTAGGCCGTCAACAAGCATTCTTTTTATATTTCTTCCAGTATAATAAATTATTGATATCATTGCTGACTTTTATATTATGGGAGGGAAAAAAAATAACATTAATAAAAAGGTGATAAAAAGCACTGTTTCTATTTTTTTCTTTTTTTCCAAAAAAAGAAAGTAATAAAAACTTAAATTCTTTGTACCAGTTAAAAAAAAATGTATAAAATTTACATCTGTGCAGTGGAGTTGTTAAGTTCTAGAAACAGTCTATGAAGCTTTAGTTTTAGCCTAGTAGAACAACTGTTAGAGACAGACGTATAATTTTTATGGAATTACATGATAATCATATTCGGATTTATAGAAGCATTTTACAAGTATTGCAATCATTGAGTAGAGATAATCATGGTATTTTCATCAGCTTGGTACTTTTTGAAACATGACTGTGTAATGTGAACGACCTGCAATTTTTCAGTCCGTGACAGCCTGCCCTCCCATTCTTCCTGGTCCCCAGGGATTGTGTCAACCCCAGTATCTTTAGTTCTGTCTCCACGGCCCAGGACACTTGTCAGAAGGAAGCAAAAACGTAGGTCCACCTTCTTCATCCCCGAAGAACAAAGTCCCCCCACCTCTGACGCAGGGCCAGAGCGACACAGCCGAAAAATTGCAGCTTGTCTGTACTACTTCTGTTTGACCTTCCATGCTGTCCTGTTTACAAGTTAACCTAAGTTGGGGTATCTGTCACGGGTCTTCCTGTTTTTGTATTTAAATTAAACACACCGCAGCAAGCTGTCCCCAGTAGTTTTGCTGCCATAGGTAAACCTTCATGTGTTCAGTGCCGGCCCTCTGGCAAGCACTCCAGCAAGGCATCCATTCACCGCTGTGAACCTGCCAATCCGCTGTAACAACTCTGCTTTCAAACAAAACCAAACAAAACGTTAAAAAAAAAAAAGTGTTTGTGATCCAGCATTCTTGTCATCCTATGTGCATGCAGTAAGATCGGTTGGATATTAAACCATCAATAAAGTTTCACAAGATTTGCAAACCAAGTTTCTGTAGCTTCGATATCTAAGGCAGATGACCATTGTCTTGAATGGAGAGAAAGACGGGGGGAAACTGCTTTCGCAGCCCAAAGCATAGAAAGCGTGCTTTTCACCAGACTTCTTTGGGTGGGGGAGGGGTGGGGCAAGGGGTGTTTTATAGCATCACTAAGATATTCTCATCCCCCCCGCTTGGGGAAAAATGTTATGACAATGGGTGCCCGGTTGATGTTTTTAAAGGCAACAGTTTATTAAAATGCTATGGCATCCTACCCCGGAGGGGAGGGAAGTAGGAAAACCAAGGGGCTGGCGAGAACACATAGATTTCTCCCAATTGCCTCAGATGTCACAGTCCAGAATTTGCATTGTATTTGGAATCACAAACATAGAATTCTTACTGTGTTGGTTAAAGTAAAATTAATTTGCAGTTTTGATTTTCACCGATGAGCTGTACTTTTCTCCCATGATTGTATGTAGTTTTAATAAAATCATTTAGAGCAAGTGGGTGCCACCTGACGTTGCAGAATCTTATGTCTAGGCACTCCTCCAAGATGCCAATAAGTCATTTTCAAATGTATGTCAGAGATGTAAACACACATTTTGGATTTTTTAAACAGTATTTATTTGGAATGTTTTCATTTATCTAAATAACTATTGCTATTATGAATTATGAAAAAAAAACGACTAATATCATGTGTGGCATATAGTGACTTCTTAACACACACATCACGCAATCCGCAAACCCAGAAAATGTGTATATCTGTCTTTAGAAATTAGTGTTTATATCACTTACAGTGGTTTGTGAATAAAGAAAACTGGTTTGTAATATCAAAAAAAATAAAAGCTTAGTCTGAAAAGGTACGTGGGAGTCTGTGTCCTGAGTCTTTTGGCTTCTGTGCTTCTTCCATAAAGGGTTCGTAATTCCTTATCCAATACGTGGCTGCACGTGTGTCCGCCAGGGGGCGTTCTGGGGTGGGGCGAAGGCGCCCAGGTGAGCAGTAGGCTGCCATCGCCACAGGTGGTGCCTCCTGCAGGTGCACTGGCTGTCTGGCACAGAGGGATTCCCGTCTTCGGTCACCTTTCCAAAGACATCAGTGGATCTAACCGCAGCTGTTTAAGAAAGAAACAGAACGAAGCATAGCTATTCCCCAGCGTAGAAATGTCAGTCTTTGGTTTAAAACAAAACAACGAAAGCGAACTGGGCAATTTGATGAAACATATGTTCAAGTTATTAATACAACTTTGGGGGCGAGCCGTGGATGGTGAGGATTAAAAAATAAGTGCTAGGTTTACATTTGTTGAGTGCTTTACTAGGAGCCAAAAGCCCTGCTCAAGCTCTTGTGTTGCTTATTTTGTTTAATGATTGAATACTCCCATCAGGGTCTGGTGATTCACCCCATCTAATTGTCTTAATAATATCTTAATCCTATCTCATTTAGTTCTCTTAATATACTCCTGTCACTTGCTAGCTGCAAACCAGAGCTTTCTCCATCCCCTCTTCTGTAACTCAGGGCGATAATACCACCTGCCTCTTAATACTGGTGGGCGGAATAAAGAAAACAACCCATGTGACAGGCTTGCAGCCGCACTTCATAAATGGTAAGCTACTGTCATTGACAGCGAGGAAACTGAGGCACAAAGAAATGACTTTATCTGGGGTCACACATCGAGCACCTGGCCAGGGTTCCAAAATGGGCATCCTTAGCCGATGGGGAATGTTCTCGCCTGGCTCAGTGAGAACTTTGAGCATCCAGTTTCAGAGATGAGAAGCCTTACCCCGTGGGCCACCCACACGCTGCACAACATGGGTTGTCTTAATAGCAACTGTTACACCATTTCAGTGTATTGAGCGGTCCCTTCTCTGTAAACTCCTCAGGGTGTGGAGAGCTGTGTAGGTTCTAATCAATTCCCATTGCCCTATGTCAGCTGATCCTTGGAGACACTATTGCCCTCATTTGATAAATGAAGACAATAAGGATTGCTAGGTCGTGATGGGCCTAAAGTCGCCGTGTCTAGCAACTGTTGGGAGCAGGCTCCCATGAAGATCTGTCTGAACCTGAACTTGTACCCTTTTTCGAACATCCTGCTCCATTATTTATGCTGATGGTGATGATGGTGGTGGTGGTTGTGTTAAACCTGGGCTTCTAGTACTCTCCTTGCAACATATGTGAGGCTATATTCATTAAATCAAAGAAGTCACCAGCTTTATCCTGGCATGGCAACGGGGGGGGGGGATCATTATCTCCTAAAATGCTGGTTTATGGCTGAATCCCTACACTGTCCAAATATGAGGGTATAAGTATAGATGTTTTCTATTATGAGATACTTTTAAAAAGTAAAAAGTGTCAGCTTTCTTTCATTACTCGTTCCTTTTTTTTTTCTGAAGCCACAATGCTTAATTTAGTTTTCCCAAGTAGAAAGCCTGTACAAACAAAATGACTAATAATATTTCTCAACATTTAACCAAAGTGAGCCTTTCCAAAAGACAACATTGTAATCTAATGTTTATAGTTGTAACATTATTGACTATAGCAGTTTACATTAGAATCTTCCAAACAAGGCTCTTCTCGAAAACGGAGATAAGCATATAAATTTTAGGTGAAGTAAATAAAGATGATGACAGAAGTGACAGCGTTTCTTAAAAGACTCCACTGACGGATGCAAATGCTCTGACAAATGTGGACAGAGCTATACAACTAAGCCCAGAGGAAGCCCATATGCGATGCACATCCTTTGGGTATAAATGGAGACTGCTGTGTGTGTGTGTGTGTGTACACAATACCCGAGGGGCAGAGCCTCATCCCACCTATAATTATTTTCTTAAAACAATATTTTAATTAACCAAATGAAACCTCCATGTTAAAAGAAAAAATTAAAACGGTAAAGGCTCTATTTGATCACTTAGACCACCATCTCCCATTTTCCCACTCAACACCCTGAGGACCTTGATAATATGATGGCGCCTGAAGGCTGTTTCTACTTCCTGGAAAGCAGCCATTTGTTCTGGACAAGGAGCTCTGGTGAGCCCCTCGCTCTCGCAGGCATGCACACACACATGCACGCTTGCTCACGTGCGCACACGAGCGAAAGCTCTTCACTGCTGTGACAGTGTCCCTCCGATGTACAATCCAGTGGCTTGCTCTCTCAGGAACACCTGTTGGGGTTGCTGCAAAAGCAGCATCGTGGGCTCCCATCTGCTTTCAGCGCTCCTCAGGTTGAAGGGCATCACTATGTGGGAGGGACCATCTGTGCTGAACTTTCTGATTGTGTTCATGGTTGATGCTCCCTGCAGATCTGACTCTTACAATGTCAGGAGAGCTGATCAATGTGTGTGTGTGTGTCTGTGTGTGCATACACAATCACCTACTTATACATCGATGCACATTCTCGGCCTTGCTCATGACAACCCGTGATTATTTTTTCACCAATGAAGTCAAGAATTAGGACTGAAAATGATATCACATGGGAAGAGATAAAATAGTCACTTTGGTTGGAAAACACAAAAAGGCTGGTTTATTTATTTAACTAGTCAGTGATACATGTGCGCGCACATGCACACACACACAAACATTTGTGAATTCACGAGGTGCAGTCTTTTCTGAAGGATACGACATTCTCATTCTGAAATTGCTGAACATTCAATCAGATGTTTGATATTGGACCAAAGGCCAGCTCATCTCCCAGCCCAAGGCAGAGTCCTTCAGTTCATGGGTGAAACCACGGTTTCTCACTGCTGTTATCTGAAGTCCTAAGAGGTGTAGATTTGGGATGGAACCGATGCAGTTGGCTCCTTCGCAGTTTAGAAGAGTGCCCTGCGAGAGAGGTAAGCCTCATGTTGTGTATTCATTGCCCTCCTGGAAAACGGGGTGGGTCCCCAAGTGGTGTCTCCAACGCTGTGGCCTAGATAATCAGGGTGCTTTGATCATAGACACCCTGGATGGAGAAGGACATTTATCAGCTATCTCAAAGGGGAAATGCTTTCCGGATGGTAAGGCGGTATTGTGAAGAAAATACCAAGGATGCTTTTAAGAATAATGGTGTCATTTCCTAAAGGGAACCCATATTGTAGCTTGTGTGGAGAACAAAACAAATAATAAGACCAGCTCACATTGTTCAAATACAATGACAGGTACTCTACAAAACACACATATTTCATCTACACACTCATAGACACATAACTGTCTACACACAGACATACATATGAGAGGCACCTAGAAAGTCTCTTAGTCTCCATATTTCAGTTACTTCATTTCTAAAGTGAGGATGACAATAGTACCTACTTTTCAGGGTTCTTGTGAGAATGAGATGTGTGAAAACATGTAAAGCACTTAGCCAGACATAAGAGCATTTTTTAAATGACTTCTATACCTATCTGTTAATATAGAAGAATCCATATGCATTTTATTTTGTTTAAGATTTGTATTCAAAATATAGATAACGAACAATATTATATTAGTTTCAAGGGTACACCATAGTTATTCATCATTTATATACCTAAAGACGTGATCACCATGGTAAGTCCAGCAACCATCTGACCCCGTACCACGCTGTCACAATATTGCTGACTATAGTCCCTACGCCGTACATTACATCCCCGTGACTTATTTGTTTTATACCTGGAGATTGGGACCTCTTATTCCCCTTCACCTCCCCCCACTTTTGAAATATTTAAATTACAGTTGACATTCAATATTTTATATTAATTTCAGGTGTACAGCATAGTGGTTAGACATTTATGAGTATGTAATTTACAAAGTGATCCCCCAGACTAGTCTAGTACCCACCTGGCACTATACCTAGTTATTTACCATATTATTGACTATATTCCCTCTGCTGTACTTTACATCCCCATGACTATTTTGTAACTACCAATTTGTACTTCTTAATCTCTTCACCTTTTTCACCCTGTCTTCCAAATCCCTCCCATCTACAGTATCACCCCAATAAATCTAGTACCCATCTGACACCATAATAGTTATATGTATTACAATATTATTGACTATAT